GGAAAAAGAATAGATAATATAAACTAAGTAATACATTTTTTTAGCTATTTATAATACACCATATTAAAAAAAAAATAATAATAAATAAAACAAAATAAAATAAACTCAGAGCATGAGAATAGAAAATCATTATAGTATGACGTATGAAACATCAAAGATGTGTTTATGTTTAAATATACAAAAATTGTGTCTGAAAGCGTTAAAAATAATATGAAACAACATCCACCATGTAAATATCACGACTTTATAAAATCTATTTTTCTAATGTATACATTTTTTGTATAAAAATTGTTTTACACAATAGATATAATTTTACATCGTATACACATAATTATAACTTTGTCAATGCACATAATACCATGCAATAAATTGTAACTTATGCAGAAATATTGATGCACACATAGATTTTCACATCTTGTCATTTTCACAATTGTGTTCATACCTGTTGATATTACATTAGATATAGTTAATGGTATACCAACTAATAATTTTTTCTGTACAATTAAACGTTGGCTCAGTTGACTATTTTGTACGCAAATGTATTCATATAGTATTCTATACACAATTAATTATGCATCTTTGGACATAAATCTATTTTACATTAATCTGTATAAATTTTTTTGTATAAATATAATATGATTTATTTATACATTGTACTAAGAATTTACATTTATTTCTTACTATTACATTAAGAAAAAATAAAAAATAAATACTTGACTACTTTAAATTGATGTAGTAAACTTAAAATTGGTATAAGACACTTATTTATTATCACATTTTCAATTGAGTGGTATTTTTATTTGAAGTTAAATTCATAACTTTTTTTACTTGCCTGCTATTATTTGCTATATACTAAAGTTTTTCTTTTTCTAATTATGCAATCAATTTGATTTCAACAATAATCTTTGAATACTTTAACATTAAAAATCTCATGAAATAATAATGTTAACGTGAATACGGATAACTTTATTTACCCTGATGATACATTTCGTGATTTTATTATTATTTTTATAATCAACAGTTTTGTACGGTAAATATTTTATTAAAAAAACTAATATGAACCCTCAGTTCATCACGTAGATTTATTTACTATATAATATGGAAATCAGACCGCAAGTGTTCAGCCAGTTTCATTAAATTAATTAAATTACTTTCAAACAAGGCGTTCTACTTTATTTACATTAAATGCAAGTTTCCTATTTTTTCGATCTATTAAAACAATAATAAGATATTCGAAAAAATATAAATAATTACGTGGGCATCTTTATCACGATTTCTGAAAAGAATTTTTGTAAGACGCAGGTATGTCATCTATTTTTAATGATAAAATCCTTACAATGACACCAAAACTGAGATTTTCAAGTTATTTATTTGAAAATTTTATAAATAAATTTGCTCGAATGAAAAGAAATGTTTTTCAATAATCTAAGATGAAATACTGCAACCTTCTGTACGTCAAATCAGATAATAATCCATTTTAAGTAGTAAAAATTGCTTGCAAGACACAAACACCAAAGAGTTTTTGCACGATATCCTGTGTAGAAATATTGCGAGAATTCTTTCAAAAAATTTCGGTGAGGGAGATTTAAACACGCAACGTTCATCAACGACATAAATATCACACTACTCATCGTACGGTCGGTTATTTCAAAAAAATTCAACAAACGTTCTACTATCTCTCCGAAGCCGGTATCTCTTTGATACTGCCAATGGTAGAGTTCGAGATCTTGGTCGAACGTACGGGGCACGAGCATGACGAGTTTTTACTTCGGTAATTATTGCCACCACTCGCGCACCCTTTGGCAACTTGTCTGTCCACCTGTAACGTCTTTGCGGATGATTTGCCGGCTCCGCTGCTGCTCACCGGGTTGCCGCGCGAGCAATTGGCGCTGGTGCCGCTGCCGCGGTCCGTTTCCGCGGCTTCGTTGGTGCAAATGTTGATGCGCGGTGCCGTTTCGCGCTTCCAGAGCTTCGTCAGGCAGACTCGAAAGTTTTCCGAGGACACACCGTAAAGCAGCGGGTTCACCACTGTGTTAAATTGGGCGATTATCAGCGCCCAAATCAGGTGGTAAGATCTGAAAATCGATAATATTAATTGTAGATGTACCGGAGCCGTGGTTATTGTGACTTTATCAAGAGTTTGTGATTTGTGACTTGAAAAACGGATACCTGAGAAAAAATTCAGTATCCTCGGTGGGCCGGTGTCCATCTACATAGATAAGCACCATGACAACTGTAATCGGTATCCACATAACCAGGACCACGAAGACATTGAGCAAAAGGAGGCGCACGACGCGAAGATGCTTGTGCAATCTGATCTCCTCCTGTTGTGACAGACTACCGGCGCGATTTTGCCGGGCGCACGTCGCGTTACCCTGTATCGAGGCAGAAGACAGCTTGCGGCCAGCCCAAGGCATCAGTGTACCGACTATCGATAACTCCGAGTCTCTGCGTTTATTACTGTCGCCGTCCAAACCCTGTGAATGGTTGTACAAGAAATTGAATTACCTTTGAAGTAGCAACAATTATATGTATTCTCATAGTAAAATAGAATAAATGTTCACCTGGGCTACGCAAGGCACTGCCCATCGATTTCTCGTGTCGACCAATTTTTTGAAGATCCTCTGGTAAAAGTAGACCAACAAAGCTATCGGCAGAAGGAAAGTGAATATGATGATTGGAATCGTGAAGCAAAGAGACACGTTAATGACGTCACTGCGTGGGAAGATTAGAGTGCAAATGGTCAAGCCGTTGTCTGTCACCTGTAAAACATGTCACGCAAAATTGTAGGTGAATTGCAAAATTTTTATAATTTATTAAATGTACCTAAAAATGATAAAAAAATAGAGAGTCTAAAATTACCTTGGTCTGAAACCACAAAACGATCGGCAGAAAGATTAAGGCTGCGACGAACCAAGTGAGAAAACTGGCAGTAATAACTCGAGTGACGGTCAGGGCGCTGCGATAGGGTACCACCGCCAAGCAACGATGCCGGTCCATTGAAATGAGCGTCAGCGTCCATAACAGCACAAAGCCGCACACAAACTGGGTAAAAAAAAAATTTTTTTTGCTTTTTGATGTGGATATAAAATGATGTGAACCTACCAGTACTATTCAGTTTTTTTTTGCTATATCAGATTCAGTGAGATACAAAATCATTTTCAGGCTTATACTTCTAAACTTTATCATGATAATAAAAAATACTTGGCATTATTTTCCTAAAAAAAATCTTAAAAAACCGAACGATACCGGTAAGGTAGATCGCACACCTAAAGTCGGTACTCTTATTTCCCTTAACCTTAAAACGGAGAAAAGCGATATTAAGCTGTACTTGACTGAAATATTAGATCCAATGTAAGTACCTGAGAGTATGGAAGCATGCGACAAACAGCCTCGCCGAGCATCCAAGATTGCGTGAATCGAGTGTAGGCCACGGCGGGCACGCCAAGGGTGAACAGAAGATCGGCCGCTGCTAAATTGACCAGGCAAAGATTCATTGGCGTGCGCATCTCGCGAAAGCGCAACACGCACGCACCGATTCCGATATTCGTGATGACACTCATTACGAAGCACACAGCCATCACCAGCACCTGGACACGTGTGATTTTTCATTCATTAGATATTCATATTTTTGTTATAATTACATAATTGTGTCAATGGTCAATTGTATTTGAAACAGCTTTTTGACAGCACAACATTGCTCAAGTAAAAAAAAAAAAAAAAAAAAAAAGTTCCAGAAACAAGAAGAAACCTTCTATATGCTTTCTGGGTCGCTGAATCCAAATCTAAAGTAAATATTTTTGAGAGAGAAATTGATGAAAGATATATGATTTTTGACCGTAATTTTGAGGTTATAAAAAAATTTTGACGAGATGGGATTAAACAGATTTTAGATTCAGATTCAGCGACCCAAAAACCATATGGCAGGTGTTGCCTAGTTTCTGGAAGCATTTTTTTGTGGAGCTGTGTAGTTTAGAAAAATATTGATAGAAATATTTATTTTGTCTAGGTGAATTCAAAAAATATCCAATGTTTTCGTTAATCTACTGGAAGGAGTTCATAAATTTAATACACTTTTTTATTAATCTTCCATAATCCCATGGCTCACAATTTCAAATGCATTATATGCAATTCTATTGTATCTGTTTATTAGAATTAAATTCAAAATTTAAATATTATCGAACGACGCTTCCCAAATAAATCACATGATCAACCTAAGCCAATCAGATATCCAATAAAAAGGCTTTGTTACGTGACCAATTAACTTTTAAAGAAAATACAGTACAATATATAGTACAATTGTAATCAGAGTTGGGCACGAATTCTATTAAAATTTTTTTACTGTTTAATTTTTTGCTCCAAAAATTTTTTTCTTACTGTTTTATAACGATGTGCATAACAAATTTTTTTTTAATGTATTGAAATTCGTTTGAAAAAAAATCAAAATGAAGGTACTTGTTAAAGGTACTTTTATTGTAAGCTATTACATCAAAATGTAAACTTTTTTTTATATGGTATTGTTACTAATGATAAATCTCATGAAATAATAATGTTAACGTGAATACGGATAACTTTATTTACCCTGATGATACATTTCGTGATTTTATTATTATTTTTATAATCAACAGTTTTGTACGGTAAATATTTTATTAAAAAAACTAATATGAACCCTCAGTTCATCACGTAGATTTATTTACTATATAATATGGAAATCAGACCGCAAGTGTTCAGCCAGTTTCATTAAATTAATTAAATTACTTTCAAACAAGGCGTTCTACTTTATTTACATTAAATGCAAGTTTCCTATTTTTTCGATCTATTAAAACAATAATAAGATATTCGAAAAAATATAAATAATTACGTGGGCATCTTTATCACGATTTCTGAAAAGAATTTTTGTAAGACGCAGGTATGTCATCTATTTTTAATGANAAAAAATATATATCTATAAATGTTGTTGTGTAAAAACCGACTGTTTAGTTGCTATTTGTCGAGAGTTTTTAAGGAATTCGAAGAAATTCGAAGAAAAGAAAAAGAAAAAGAACGTATTACGTGCATATGGGTTTTGTCTGCGACAATGACGAAAGAAAAGTTTCAACTATAGTACGACGTCGTCGAACGAAAAACCCAATTAGGAGGACTTTCATTCGGTCTTCCTTCGTTTGTTGGAGTTTCAAAGAAAGTTTCTTTTTCCACCCTTTCACTTTAGCGTACCTTGTATTGCTTTCTGAGGGTAATGGACGTTTTTTTTTTTTTTTTTGCATTTTCATTACGCAACAACACAAAGGTAATTTTACACAACTAAGGCCGAGCACTTGGTTATAAAAACTGTAATTCACTTTATTCGTACATTTGGTGTACGATATGATGTCTAAGAAAAATAAACAGTGACTTACCTCTACGCCTCTAGCTCCGCTCTGATCACCAAATTCACTGTAATAGGTGAAGTAAGACCTCACACCCCAATCTTGATCTTCTCCCAACAAATACGACGAGTTCATGTTTCTTCAGGATTTTTCTTCTAATATTTAAAAACTTAAAAAAAAAACTGTATCCGTTATGTGACCTCTTCCTTAGGTTGCATGTTTCGGTGTTTTCTTTTTTTTTTTTTTTTTTCAAAGTGTCACAGTCATTAAAAGTTTACGCTTGTGTTCATTTTATTTTGAACATTATTATTTCAATTAATTCAAGTAAAAACACAAATTTCGTCAGATTTAACTGTCTGTTTTTTTCATGCTTCGCGTAAGAATCAAGCCCAGCGTGTATTCTTTACAAAGCCACTAGCCCGATTCTTTGGCTTTTTCGTCAGTCAAGTTTTAGATTTTTTGTGCGATAAGCAGCCAGTCTTTTTTTTTTTTTTTTTTATCAACTTTCTAACGGCGTTTCTTTATCTGGTGCTGCGTAAACTCTGAAACAATAATTATTTTTTGCTCTTTTTAGTACGTACGTTTACATTCATTTGAGGTGTTTGAAAGAAACATTGTGCAATCATAAATTAGCATCGATGAAACGTTCGTCTATTAATTGGAATATCGAATAATCTTCTTTTTTGTTTTGTGCATTTCAAAAACACGTCGTTTCATTGCTTTGTTTAAAAAAAAAAAAGATATTTGTTTCGAATTTGAATGAGTATCAACTCGAATTTAAAAAAAGTATCACTCAACTTTTTAATTCAAAAAACGCGTATTATCTAAGTATTTTGATTTTATGGACGTATAAGCTCAATATTATTTTAAATACGTAAGACATATGTTTTTGATAATCCCAAATGAGATATTTTTTTGAAACTCAGAAATAATACGATTATTTCTTCCATTCAATTTGCGATTTATAATTAAAAAAAAGCTTCACTTTATTTGAATGGATAGTTGCTGATTTGAGATTATTATTTCTTCACTGTAGAAAAATAGCTTCTCAAACATAGACAGTAGGATAATAATGTTAAAAAATCACCCAATTGCTTTGATAGTTTTACTATGAAAACAGGCTATATTCAAAAGAAATTCACAAAATTATTCTTTTCATGTGATAATTTTAAACTCTGATTGTTCCGATGTTCGGATGAAACGGAAAAATTTCCAATCAAAAGTTACAATTCACTTCGGGTATAAAAAAGGAAAAAAAAATTCGTACAGTAAGAAGAGGACCATGATAGAATTTTATTAAAAAAAAAAAAAAACTCCCGAATCAAAGTAGATATGCCGAACAACTGTTTTTCCAAGAAAGTACTCTATTCACGGGATCCGAGATCAAACGAGCGATGCTTGCTAAATCTGGACTCTCATTTCTTCATTGCAGCAGTGAAAAATGCTCGAAAAAAAAAAAAAAAAAAAAAAAAAAAATCACGAAAAAAATGATTGCCTCGCCAGAGTTCCAATCAAACTTTCGGCCCTCGTTTCCAGGAGGATGCTATTTCCACATCGACGCACTCCGGAGTCGGGCGAAAATAGCAAAAAAATCCCACCCAACACTATTTTCAACGCTAATAAACAATCCCGCACGCGCTCTCGTCCTTATATACCAAGCGAAAAACGATCGACTTGACGGAAAAAAAAAAAAAATCTCTACGTGGTAGAGAAGGGCCATAAAGTTAAGTGCACTTAGGCCTTATTAACAAAAAAAAAAAAAGAAAGAAAAAAAGGTCGTCAATCAATAGGCGTCTGGCACTTTCGCGCGCACCTTTGTCGGGAGACGGAAAAAGAGAACCAGATCGTCGGAAAGAGAGGGAGAGAGAACAAGGTCGAGGGAAGAAAAAAAAAAAAAATCTGGAGAGCATCGTTCATTAGTCGAGCTTTGGAATTTCGCTGGCAGTCAATTCACGTCCGCGCGATAATATAGACACTCGAAATCGATTGCCTTCTTGGGTGTACCTATACTCAAATCAAGCTTATCTGCGTCTCGTATCGAGTCAAGCTTCTGTATTTTATATACGTGGGTATGTATCACAGATCGAATAAGAAAAGGGAGCAATGTGGAAAAACCCAGTGGCATATTTTTTCTTTTTTTTTCGTGAGGGTGTACGTATTTAGGTACGCGCTTTTTTTTTTTTTTTTTTTTTTTTTTTTTTATTGCGGTCGTCAGCGATAAAATTATTTTGGTTGATTTCCGTGCGATCTTTTCAAATTTGTATTTGTTCGAGTTTCTTATTTACGCGCGTCAGATTGGAAATTTTTTTTTTACGTCATGGAAATGATTTAGGTATTTAATTTGCAGGCCATATTGTGCACTTGTCGAGATCGTAATCTACTTCGGAAAAGACTAATAGTCAGATTTTTTTTATGTTGTATAAGATTGTGAGATAGTATAGGAAAGATTATGTTATTATTATCAAAATGGTAAAAATATTTTAAGTTTATATGTAAAATCGATAGGTAAATCGCGATCAGGTGTATTATTAATTATTTGCATTTTTGCTAAATAAAGGATCAGAAAGAAATTTTTTTTTTCTTTAACAAATAGCAGTGGGTTTTCATAGTGTAAATAGTTTATTTCAATATTTTACTATAAAAAAGTATTACATGTAATGTTGCATTTGAAACATAAAACAAAAAAAATTAACAGAATTTGCTTGATTTTAGAATGAGTCAACAATAACGAAGTGAAATTATAGAAGTTGAAATTATTTTTTATTTAAGAATGAATCTTAAATGAAAATGAAAGACTTTAACAAATATAAAAATAAAATCCAAGAAACAATTTCAATGAATTGATTATTTTTTAATATTGTTCGATTAAAAAACAAAGTACCCTACCTAATTTTTATTTAGATTTTCTAAATCCTAAAAATTAAGTATAAAATTAATGGAAGACAAATGTAATTAATTTTTTTATTCAATATTTGTAAAAAATAGAATTAACATTATTTTGAAGTTTTTTACTTCTCTTGTTTATCAATAATATCTACAAGAGTATCTATAAGGTTTCCAGGCAGAATTGATTCCTGAGGAGTGTCTTATGTTTTTGCCAGAGGGGAAAGGGTAACCATCCATAAATCATCTGTTTTTGTATGAAACATTTTTTGTACCTAATATGAATGTAGTGAGCATTACCAAAATATCACTTTCTCATTTTATTTGAACAAAATTGTTGAAGTTGAATGTATTACATTTTTTACATTTGAAAGTGTATGATAAAAATTCAATTTTTTAAACAATTAGTCTCGTACTTATTTACAAATCATTTTATGCTACATTGATTAAGTAATTTAAAAAAAATAAATTTCACTTGTTGTAAAATAAAATTATCCGATAACTAATTATTTTTCTAGCCAATAAAATCAAATTAGCTTATCGAACTTTTGAAAAAATATTGAAATAAAAATTTTTCATCCTAAAAAATATTAAAAAGTAAGTAATTTTTATTTGGAATTCCTTTTTTGAATTCTGATGACGAACTATAAATTATATTTATGAGAAAATTCATTTTTATGATGTTATTTTTAACAATTTTTTGAAAGGTTTTTATAAGTTATTCAGATTTTTATAAAATAGATGTCAATTAATAGTTACGAAAATAGTTAACAAAATAAAAAAAAAATTGTTTTAAAATTTACATAAAACCCTTAATTTTTCAAAAGACAAATCAGTTGAATTAACAAGTTCAATGTTAAAACTATAATGTGGTTTGCTACAGGAAAAAACTTTTAAAAAACAAAATTAATTCACGTACTTCTAAATGAATGAGTCAGAATAGTTTTTGCATTTGTATCCCAACGCCTCAAAAAGTTATACATTATTCAGTTTATTTAATATCTTAATTGAATCTTTTTCTTCTGTTAAAAAACTCATTACTCATTACTTATTTTAAAAATTTTTTTAAACTATGAGTAATACAAATTCAGTACATAAATTCGGTGGACCATAAAAGTCTTAAAAAACAAACAAAAAAATTAGTATTAATTTTCAGATGGAACATGTAACAATCTACATTTTTCGCATTCTAACACACTACCACCATCTGCCGAAATCAATAACCATCCCCTTCAATCCTGTAACGACATCATCGCACAAAGCTTACAAGTAAGTATAGAACCACACATCGCGCAAAGTAAAACGTATACACGCACGTCTCGATTCCACGACTCGGTCCGCAAGGCCGGAAAAGAGTAAGTGCCGTATCGTTTTCCCATTTTTCCCTCACTTTTGGACGGAATGCCGATTTTTTTCCGCGTAAATGCTCTCGAATATTTTTCGCCACCTCCAACGCCTCCCTGAAAGCCAAGCTTGATTTACGAGCGGATCAAAACCACCGGCCCGCGTCGACCAGTTTCCCGGAACGCTCATCCCGGCGCGTCTCTTGAAGGCGCAAGAGATACGTCTTTTGGGGATCTTTATTTTTTCACGACGCCGGTAATGGCCCTGATTTATCCCACGAGAAAGTACTGTGCCAGAGCTGCGTTGGAGTGGTTTTTTGCACAGCAGCCATGGCTTCCATAAATTGCGCTTTGATTTTATTTCTGAAGTTATGACAAGTCGAATTTCATTGGTTCAGTTGATACTAGTGGAAAAAGGTTGTACGGTTTTTTTTTTAAATAAAATAAATGATCGCTATTGGTGACTTGTAACAAGAGCAAAAAAAGAGATTCTTGGATGACGAATGGACTTTTTTTTTTTTTTTTTTCTTTCCAGCGTTTTGTAAAGGAAAATGGCAACGGCTTTCGTTGCTGGAGTGCAACCATAAAAGTTCTTTTCACCCTTGCGTTTTTGTATACGCTGGAATGTGTTTGTTCGAGGTATTGAAGAAATGGAAAAATAAAAAAAACATTTACTTCACTGTACGGGTTTTTGTTACAAAAAAAAAAAAAAAAAAAATTGAGAATTTTTTTTTAACAGTTTATTCAATGCCAGAGAAGAAAATTTCGAATATCGCCTTTACCAGTTTGAGTATGAGTATCGAAAAACTCAGTCCATGAAAGACGGGGAAAAAAAATATTATTCATCGTACAAAGGACGCGATCTTGATGGTTGCGAATTGTATATTATTGATCCGTCGTGTATTTAATTTGCAGGCCATATTGTGCACTTGTTGAGATCGTAATCTACTTCGGAAAAGACTAATAGTCAGATTTTTTTTATGTTGTATAAGATTGTGAGATAGTATAGGAAAGATTATGTTATTATTATCAAAATGGTAAATAACCAGTTTTTGTAGACTCTCGATTTTTTTATTGTTCTTTCAAAGCAACAAATGTACGTTACCTATTGATTCTGAATATCATAACGTGTGATGTCATAGATGCCGATTTTGTCTTATTAAAATAGATAGCGTTCACTTCTTGATTGAAACTTCGATATAATAAGCGTATTCTATATTGTAGCCGGATTTTTTAATAAATTGACGGCACATAATAGGAGTGCAAGAGAGACATGAGTATTATTTTATATATATATTGTGACGTCACATTATTTG